CTTAAAATGGAGTGAATGTGTGCAAAATAAATTACCTTTAATGTATCTAATGGGATAAAATGCTTTATGTTTCTCAACGCATAACATGACCTTGCAATTTTATTGATAACATAGTTAATATGCTGTTTCCATGTGATGGTATCATCAATAATTAGTCCTAGAAATTTAGTTTCTTTCACCTTTGGTAATTTTATTTCATCATCTATGGTCATTGGGGTAATATTATAACAATTCTTGGAACGAAATTCAATATATTGAGATTTTTTAAAATTTAAAGCAAGTAAATTAGCATTAAACCATGTGTCAATATCTTTTAAAGTTTGTTTGAGATTAATTTCAAGTTCTAATTTATTTATGTCAGTTATTATAATACTTGTGTCATCTGCAAAAAGTACTGTTTTATTTTTCCTATTGCTTATTGAAGGTAAGTCATTAATGTAAAACAGAAAAAATAGTGGGCCAAGAATTGATCCCTGAGGTACACCACATTTGATTACTTCCCATTCGGAAAAGCTTCTACTGTCGAATTTGTTTCCTATTACAACTCTTTGGTATCTACCCATTAAATATGATTCTATAAGTGACTTAAATTTCCCTTCTATTCCATAAAATATTAACTTTTCTAGTTAAAATGATCAGAGTCAATGTTGGCCCCCCTGTAGCTCCTGACATCCTTCAAGTCTGAACAATGTCTTACATCTATTAGGATGTGATCAATTTGATTAAACACATTTCCATCAGGGGATTTCCAGGTTCGTTTATGTATATCCTTGTGATTACATTGTACTACCTACTACCATGTTTCTTGAGAAAGCAAAATGTATTAATCTCATCCCATTATCTTGTGGGTAGTTTTGTCATTATTCCGATGACAACCCACTTCTTCAGAAAAGTTTGTAGGTCCTGAAAAGGGCTGTTGGCTGCTGGGATGTTTGGCTGGTGAAGTAGTGCTATGGTGGTTGTGGGGTGTGGACTGGCCGCAGTGCGGCTGTTGCTTGATCACAGTGCGGCGGATGGTGGAGGTTGCTTGATCGCATTGCGGCAGCTGCTGGTGGAAGTCTGGTTGTCGAGCGCAGTCACTGGAGTGGAGAGGCAGTAGCTACGCAGATGCCCAGTGAGTCGGGCATGACCGCCGGCTAGCTGAGGCAGCCCAGTGAGTCAGGCATGCCACTGGAGAGGCAAGGCGGCCATTCCTGATGCAGCGCAGAGCCGAAGACTCCGAAGACCGAGCGCTGGCAACGAAGTGTGCTGGCTGATGTTGCCTGAGTGAAGACTGATCGTGTACTGATGCTGCTGGTTTGGAGCTGCTCCTTTTTATACCCAGCTTGGTAGGTGGAGCAAAA